GGGTGGCTCCTGGCTAAGTAGACAATTTTGTGACAATCAGGTTCTCATCTCATCTCTGAAAAAGCCATGGGCAAGGCAGTTTTTTTCAGATTTCAAACATGATTTGGGGATCAGAACAATTCAAATTAAGTGGCTGAAATTAAGGAGTCAAAGGTTCTCATCATTAAAACCCTAATTGGAAAAAGTTCAGATGTAGTTCCTAAGAAGGCATAAGACAAGCAATGCTTTGTACCCGAGAAAGTCTTTCCCAAATTGTACTTTTAAATATTGCTTAGTCATTTTGTGTCTAGTTGTTTTAATAGAAAATTTAGTGGGTTTTTTTTTTTCTAAGTATGAGATGACAAAAGCTATCGACTTCTCTTTAAATGAGTAATACTTCTATTACTTACTATCTTTGGGTTATAAGTAAAAATAGAAAAAAGAAAAAAAGCTCTAAATGGCTTAAACAAGAATGGTAATTTGCTGGAGCCTATGACGAAAGTCCAGAAGAAGGTCAGCCTCTGCTGGTGAGAGACCATTGCCAGGGCAATGCTGACAGGAAGAACAGCCCCAGGGAGGAGAAATCATGCTTGCTCTTTCTGCCTTCCAGCCTCCCTCTAGTGACCCCTATAGGCAGGGCCTAACATACCCAATTGGCTATGCACATATGTGGTTTGCAAAGACCAGCATCACAGAACTGAGTCTAAAAGGGAACTTTTAAAAATGGAGAGACAAGAGCTCAACACACCTATAATCCCAGCAACACTGGAGGCTGAGGCCAGAGGATCACAAGTTGAAGCCACCCTCAGCAACTTAGCAAGACCTTAAATTAAATCCCCAACACAAAATAAATAAATAAATAACCAGAGAGAATGCAGCTAAAAGCATAAGAAACGAGTATTCTAGGGGCATGTCAAGCAGTTAATAAAAACATTTATTTTTTTGGATTATGTGATGTGTTTTTTTATCTATTACTTTTTTTGTATTTTAAATTTTATTTATTTTCTCATTCTAAATAACTGTTCACCTACTATCTTAAAAAATAACGTAAAAAAGACTTCCAACATTCTCCACAAAAATCTCAAGAATAAAAGTGTTAAAGGAGCAGCACTTCTAAATCTCTGCTCACCCCGTATGATGTGCTCAGGGGTGCTTTGTTCCCCAAAGTCCAGCCCAGAGTGGAGCAAGAATGAGGGAAAGAGGCAGGTGCAGAGAGAAAGGTCCCAGAATCCCTGCTTTCCCTAACCCCCCTGCCTCCTCTTGCCTGTTATTCCAGTCTACCTTGGGGTCTCTGGAACTCTGAGAACAATCCTGTCACCCTGAACATACTGTGTCTAGCACAGAGGAGAACAGAGTAGTGTTTTAGCTTGGTTTACAGAGCCACCTTTGTCCATGGTCTGAGCTTAGGTCAGAATTGCTTTTCTTTTTCTTTTCTTTCTTTTTTTTTTTTAATTTTTCAGTTGTAGATGGACACAGTACCTTTATTTATTTTTATGCGGTGCTGAGGATTGAACCCAGTGCCTCCCTCACCCATGCTAGGTGAGCACTCTACCACTGAGCCTCAGCCCCAGCCCTCAGAATCAATGAAAAGCAGCAACCTTTTTGTGGGTGTGTTCATTGGGAAGTATATATCTTTTTTCTAAAATATGAAGCCTATGTGTATTTCTCTGTTTTCACGTCAAGTTGCTGTTTAAGAACAAATTTTATATATGCTAATAAAACAAGTAACTGTAAGCTCCTAGAAGTAAAGAATGGCCTCTTATGACTCTATATTCCCTTTATGCTTCGTATCAGAAATTCATTCAGTTCAGTGGCAGGAATCTGAAAAACAGTAGCTCAAACCCACAAAGTTTTGTCATGTAGAATAGGTCCTTATTTAGCCTATCTGTGTTCGATTATGGACGCGCTACAGATCATCCCTGCCCAAGGTTTCCCCAGTTCTCTGCTCCATCTCTAAGGAATAGCCCTGTCTTCCAAGATGGCTGCTGGAGCTCCAGGTATCACTTCCACATTCCAGGCAGCAGAACAGAGAATGAAGAGAAAAGCATGTGTTTCCATTTTAAAAAGAAGACTTCTGAAAGTCCCTTATGATTCTCCTACTTACATCTCATTGCGCAGAATTTAGGGACACAGCCACACTGCACTGCAAAGAAGGCTGGAGGAGATAGTCTTTTAGTCAGCTGACTGAAAATTGGAATCTATTGCTAAGAAAGAAGAACTTAATGTCTGATGATTCTTTCTTCTTGGAGAAGGTTTAAAGAGATTAAAATTGAAGTTGAGGAGAATAAATATCCTGAAGGATTAAGATGATAGAAGTGCTCCAAAGACAACTTACTCCAGGAAGAGTATTTGCAGAACCAGAGGCCTCTCTGTGGGCGTTAACATTTAGCATGCTATTTGTTGGATTGTTTTATGAATCCAGAAGTAGACCTTTTAATTTGGAAAAATAAGAAATAAATACCTCCTACTTCCTGAGCACAGAAATAAAATAGCCCTGATTAACATGTCAGTGTGCTTTACCCTAATCTCTTTCCCAAGCATAAATAATTTATTAATTTATAACAAATAGGAGGTAGTTTTTTATTATTATTTATAGTGGTATCTTAAAATGTACTTAAAAAAATAAAAATGATACAATGGAAAGTCTTCCCTCCTCCCTTTGTCTGGTTCCCTTGATCTCTGCTGATTGTAGTTTGCTTAAATCACAGCAGTTTATTTTTGTGTATTTAGCAAATAGAAACTGTCGTGTTCTTCCTCCCACTCTTTACACAAATGGCAGCCCTCCATACCCTGTGGCTCATCTTGCCCTTTTCCATCACGCATGATTCTGCACCCATTTTCTGCCACATCAACGCAGAAGCCTCCCACCACCACCCCCGCCCCGTTCACATGCGTGAATTTCCTCCCTGTAGATCCACCTCACTCATTCAACAGCTCCTAGTGATGAGGACTGGGGTGGTTTCTCTGGTTTTGCTATTTCAAACAATAAACAGCCTTTTTTGGATCTCATTTGCATCCATGAACATATCCAAGGAATAAACTTCTAAAAAGTGGAATTGCTACATCAGATGCATCGTCGTTTTGATGGGTATTGACAAATTGTTCTTCATGTTGGTTGCAACAATTCACATTCCAAACAGCCACATCAGAGAGTGCCTGTGACCCCTGGGCCTCATCAAAAGTGTGTATTTTCTAACTTTTGGATACTTGCCTAAGTTGAAAAAAAAAATCTTGGTATAGCGTTAATTCAAATTTCTCTTATTATTAGCAAGGGTGATTGATAGCTTTATATAGATTGCTATCCTATCAATGTTCCTTTTTCAGTGCATGCCCTTCATGATCATTTATTTAATCATGAAATCTTTGGGCACACAATGGTCTGCTTGACTAATAAATATCAAAAGGTAGAAGGTGGTATCTTCAACTGAGCGGATACTGGTTCTCCCTACATCATATCCCTGAGGAATAGACCAGATATATTCTGGATAAATGGACATTTTTAATGTTAATTAGCTTGGTATTGCTTTATTTCTAAGATATTTCCAGAGAATTGGAATAAAGGAAAAATAAATTTAATATGTCTGTTAAAAAAGCAAGATGAAGACAGGGATGAGGTCAGTGTACTAAATACCTGTGACCACGGCTACAGGCAGCCACATATTTGGCCAACGCAAAGAGAGAAACAGAGTTCAAGTCCGCTGCACCCCACAGTGCCCTGTTAGACCATTAGACCACGGCTCTTTGTGGATCAGAGAGTGCATGGAGGGGAGACTTTTCTTCTGCCTTTGCCCTGTATCTGCATTTGCCAGATGCTGTACCAGATGTGAGCTGATCAACAGGAGCAACAACAACATTGGGAGGAAGGTGGCCCAGCTAAGGGGAAGCAAAGACGCAGAAGAACTTCCAGTGAGAACTTAAAAAGGGGTGGGGTACAGTATGGCAAAGAAAATCAGTCAATCAATCAGTTCTGTGTAGCTCAATGGTAGAGTGCTTGCCTAGTATGCCTGAGACCCTGGATTCCATCCCCAGCTCTGCACCACCCACGAAATCAACAAATAAATAAAAAATGAAAATGAAAAAAGAGAGAGATGGGGAAAATCTTAGGAAAGAGCTGCTCGGAAAGCACAGCAGTCAATGAGACAGCGGCCTCCCAGTGCAACCTAAAGATGGACGGGTTATTCAAGTCAGAGAAGAGGAAAGCGTCGTTTATTAAACTCTAGGATTTGTTGTAAACTAACATTACCCTAATTCTGCTGAAATTCCTGTAGTGCTCTGTGGCCTGCTTTCTGCCCTGACCTCGGTCAGATTTGTTTTGTCATCTTGAGCTGCTTTTTCTGGCCAGAGCTTGGAGTTGTGCTCTTTAGATGAAGGGGGATTGGTTCAAACTTGGATGTTGATGACACATCATCAGTAAACATTCGAGTTCTAGCAGAGGGGAATGTAATTCTAAAAATATTTAGGAAAAAAAATGGAGACCATCAAAGGCCCGGACTTTGCTTTCCAGCATACTTCACACATAAAATTGTCACTTTAAATCTAGATGGAAGCCAGTCTGAGGCAACATGATTACAAGTTCGAGGCTAGCCTCAGCCACTTAGTGAGACCCTAAGCAACTTAGCGAGACCATGTCTCAAAATAAAAAATAAAAAAGGCTGGAATGTGGCTCAGTGGTTAAGCACCTCTAGGTTCAATTCCTGTACTTAAAAAAAAAATTGAACAATTAGTCAAACTATAATTATAACTCTGGTAAAAGAGATTTGCTTATAGAAAGGGATGTAAGAGGCAGAACATAGTGTTAAAGAATTAGGATGAGAGTATCAAAGAAACTCCATATTGTTTCATTTTCTTTACACACACACACACACACACACACACAACCAGAGACATACACACACAAAGCACAGCCATTGCTCAGTATCAAAATAAACTTGCTTTATTTTCCTTTATGCAGATAAGATGTCCTTTCTCCAGACACAACCAACAAGTGCTTTCACTTACAGCACAATATTTTGTCTTTCCAGGCAATCTATAAGCCATTGTTGAAGCAGGTTGTGGAAGAAATATTTAATCCTGAGAAGCCAGATCCTGTTGATATTGAGCATATGTCTTCAGGCCTCACTGATCTCCTTAAAACTGGATTTAGCATGTTCATGAAGGTAAGCAGCCTTGAAGAGGTAATCCTGAGGAGAATGACATTCCCTTGGCTGGGCATGAAAATGTGGTGCTCTGATATCCCTGGCCAGAGCCACACAGATAACTGTCTGTATTTTAGCTCTTCTAAAATCAGGACAGTCTTTGTTTACCTTTTGGTTATGAGTAGCCTGACCTTGCAGCCTCATACAGCTTCTTCTGACCTGAGCACTGTCATTTCCCACCCCCTAGTGCAGCCTAAGGTGGCATACACCAACCCACTCCCACATGGGGAACAGCACTGGAAACTTCTCTCCTTGTGACCCTCATTTCACTTAACCATGAATCCATATACTATTCACCAGGCCTAGTGATAATCCTTTGCTCTTAACTCTAGAACTTATGTTATAGGTTAACAAGCAATTCTGCACAGTCCTGTGACTAACATCAACCTAAAATCCATTTGGAAATGAATGACTTGGGTTTAGGTCCAGGAGGCTTCTAAGTGACAAGTGCTAGAACTTCTCTGGCTCATATCTGGGGTGGGTCAGAATGATTGAACAGCCCTTGAAGCAGGGATGAAAGGAGGAAAAGTACACAAGTGGCTTCTATTTTTAACCTACTATAAAGTTTCTAAATTTAAAAGAATCTAAACAAGATTACAGGCTGACCTCCCAGGCTATGCCAGGATTTCAGTGGTCATAACTTTTGGAAATAACAGAATGTTTTGCCAGTTTCAAAAAGTCTTTGAAATCGTGAATTAATCTCCATAGAAGATCTGGCCTTTCAGAATTCAATAAATGCATACTCCAGAAAAACAGCTTATTCCAAAGCCCGAGGACAGACGCCAGACAATCAGACTCTCAACCAAGCAGTAAACGGCTGGAGCAGACACACAGGGCTCAGTTCTGCTGGTCCCAATTACCAGCAACTTCTGTTGCAATGCCTGGCTGCTGCATTTTCCAACTCCTACAGGTCCCCCTCCTCCTCTTTCTTTTCTTCTCTTTCTTTAATGAAGCAATGCAGATCGGCTTCTTTTATTATTATTTTTTTTTAAGTTGTTGACAGACCTTTATTTTATTTATTCATATGCGGTGCTGAGATGTAGACACAGTGCCTCACACATGCTAGGTGAGCGCTCTACTACTGAGCTACAACCCCAGCCCCTAGATCCACTTCTTAAAAGCACCTGTGGGCTTCTGCATTGAGTGTCAGTAAGTCCAGAATCGCTGAGCGGCTCCTCTTCCTAACTAGCCCTTTGTGGTTGCTAATTTGTTCAAACACTTCCAGGTTGAGCATAGTTTCCAACCTTCTCCACTTGACCTCTCTCATTCTCACATTCACTCCTGAAGAGACACTAAATAACAAGTGTGGAGTTTCAGGTCCAGGTCAGTAAGGACTGAGAATGGCACAGTGGCCTCTCTGTCCTTTCCCAGACAGGCTTCTCCTCTGTGTAAAGTTGGGCCCTGAAGGAAGGGGTCTGACCAAGGGTGCAAATGGCAGTTTGCTGCACTCTAAGAGGTGAGTTTTGGGTGAGAGGGGACCTTGACTCTATTCCTTGTCCAATGATGTCCCTTGGACAGGAAGAACAGTTTATTAGCAAAAAGGGTTCCACGATCACATAGGTTTGTAAAAAGCTGGGTCAAAAAACAACTTACCTGTGTCATTCACCATCCAGGCTTTACCTGCTAATGGACCCTGTGCCTTTCAGAGGTGACCATGGAGCATGACAGGCTGCACAGTTGTACTGTGGGAGGACCACGCACAGGCATTTCCCACCACTGTTCCATGACATGGAACATCTAGGAGATGTCACATTTTAATGCTACCCTTTAAACTCTGCATCTTCCTGAGATCAGAAGCTCCACTATGCTAAATGCACTTGGCCTAGGAGGAATCTTAGAACCATCCTGGGCCAGCACTGGGAAACTGCACTTCCCTCTTTCCCAAGTTCCCCATTCCAAACCCCATTGTGAGGGCTCATGAAGAAACACTCTGGCAGCTGGAAGATGATATCAGAGGTAGGTTTCCACAAAGTGAATTAAGAAAAAGGAATCAGAGCTGGGCACAGTGGCACACACCTGTAATCTCAGCTACTCAGGAGACTGAGGCAGGAGGATCACTTTTTTGTTTGTGTGTGTGTTGGTGTTGGGTTGAACCCAGGGCCTTGTGCATGCAAGGCAAGAACTCTACCAACTGAGCTGTATCCCCAGCCCAGGATCACATTTTTGAGACCAACCACAGAAACTTAGTCAGACCTCATCTCAAAATAAAATAGAAAGGACTTGGGTTGTAGCTCAGTGGAAGAGTTCTTGCCTAGCATGTGTGAGGCCCTGAGTTCTATGCGCATAAATGATTAAAAAAAAAAAAAAGCAGGAGGAGGAAGACCACCCTGTTCTACCAACAGCTGTCAGTATCCACTGCTCGGTCCTCAACTCTGGGCAGGGCATCTCATCTGTCCATCTGGGCTAGAGAGACTCTCCCTAGGCTGGTAGGAAAGCCCTTGCTACCCCAGTACCCCCAAAGAAGAATCATTTTGTTTTATTTCTGATTGAGTCTCTATGGTGGGATTTTCCTGACATTTCATAGAGCTCGGCAAAGAAAGCTATGTGTGGCCTATGTGTTCAGGATTTGGACATAATTGTGATAAACTTGCAGCCAATAGGGGTTTTGAGGAACCCCTAATTTCCCAAAGACACTTCTTTGAGATGGAGGTGAACCCATCAAGAAGAGATTCCATTCCACTCTAAGGCCCTTGGAGAGAGAGGTGTGGAAGACACAGTCTCACCTGGTTATGGTGGTTTACCAGTCTCCTTTGAGAAATAACCTATGATCAGTGTGTTTCCATCCTTTCTTGTATTAAGCCTCGTGACCACCCTAAGGGGTAGGTCCTGTCATTATCCCTGTCTCTCCAGTGAGGAAACTGAGTCAGAAAAGCTGAGCAGTGGAAGTGAGCTCCAGAAGGCTGGATTGTGTTTCACTTTCCTCTGTCCTCAGGTGCTCTCCAAAGGGCAACATAGTGGTGACACCAGGATTTATCCAAACCCCAGGCTCCTGTCCACATGTCTTGGCTCTGAGATACTGCCAGGCATTTTTTTGGAAGTTAAATATTCGTATGTTATTAATTCTGGTTTTCTTCAGAATTACTCACAAGCACAAATGCTTTCCCTTTCCAATATCTGTGTAGCTGTGAATAAAGTCTATGCCTGAGTTGGTCCCTCAGACAGCCAGTTCTGCTGGCACCCTGTCTTTTCCTCTGGGACTTGGCCGCAGGCTCTTGGGTGGTGCACCCCAGGAGGATAAATGTGTGCATTGCTATTGAACTGCCTCTGCACATGGCCTCTTCTTTCTGGATCAGCAGCCTACATATCGCTCATGCCTTTCTTGCCACTTGCTGCCCTATTCTGTGCCTCTGCTCCTCACTTCTCACTCAAGACTCCCCAGTGCTGAGCCAGGAGGAAATAAATAGGCAGAGCTGATGAAACAAAACCATCCATGTGGAGCCCTTCCCCTGCCTGGGGCACTATGTACAAATGGGAGATTCTAGAAGTGCAGCATCAGCTGGAAGGGAGCCAAGTTGCTGGCCCAGTCCTGCTCTTTCTCTGTACTTAGAGATGGTCTCATGAACCATGTTTGCTTGAGGTCACCCAGAGGCAGTATCTGTAGACTGTGCAGAAGACAAGGGAAGATTGAGAAACCAGTGAGAGATGTGCTTGGAAATAGGACCTCAGTGATTCCCACGGGGTGTACTGTGTCTGCCCTCATGGCCAGTAACAGAGCACAGGAAAGAGTTGTCCAGGCTCCTGTCCTCCTCAGAGCTCTATGCCTTGTACACACTCCTGTGGCTACCCTTACACAGTATGCTGTAATCACACTTGTTAACTTTCTTTCTGCAGATTAATGTTTTTCTTCAGATTAGCACAACTCGGTCCATTGCACATTAGGGGAAAGAGACATTGTTTCAATGGGTTGTAATCAACATTTTATTTTAAAGACACGAGTAGAATACACTAGATCAGAATTCTAGGAGCTGATATATATATATATACACACACACACACACACACACACACACACACCCATGTGTGATTTAACTGTGTTTCTAACAGCTATGGCTGTGAGAGCGGAAGGCGATCTAGGTCAGATTCTCTTCTGTATTCTCAGTACTTGGCATCTGGCTAAGCCTTGTGTTTTAGTCAGCTTTCTCACCACTGTGACCTGAAGACCCAACCAGAACAATTTCAGAGAAGGAAACATAGTTTCAGAGGTCTCAGTCCATAAGTGGCCAACCCCCTAAATTTGAGCTGAAAGTGAGACACAAAATCATGGAGGAGGCGTTTGACAGTTACTTCCCAGCTCATCCCTATCAGAGGATTAATGCCCCATTAGGTGACATCTCTCAGAATCTAATCATTTTGCCTTTGAACAGTCTTGCATTGTCTCACATGTGAGCTTTTGGAGGACACCTCATACCTAAACCGTAACTGGTGCTCACCAAAGATGGGAGGGAGGTTAAGAGTGGACCTATTATAGTGTTCTCTCAGAAAGCAGCAGTTTTAACTCACTGATTCCTTTTTCCAACTCTATCAGTTCATGGGGGATATACTCCAAGACTACTGTGGATGCCCAAAACCACAGATAGTGCCAAACCCTTGGTGGACTGTTTTTTTTCTATACACACATACATGAATTTAATGCCTTTGCCATCTTAACTAAACACATATCATGCACTGTAGACATACCTTTTGCAGTTTGTAGTGTGACAATAAAACTAGAACTGATTTCTTTTTCTTCACAATTTCATGGGTAGATTGGCTCTTACCATTTGTCTTAGCAAAGTCAGCATACAGTTATTTTTTTCTTTCCTTATTAAGTCAAGAACTTTCACTTTTTCAGTTGAGGGAAGCACTTCTAAGCTTCTCTTTGGCATATTGGAATTGCCAGCATCATTATTCTTCTGCTTTGGGCTATAATTATGTAAAATAAGGGTTCTGAACACAAACAGTGTGGTATTGCCACAGTTGGT